GGGGGGGGGGGGGGGGGGGGGGAAAAGGGGGAGGAGGACCGCCGTATTGTAAACTCGCTACTATACAACACACTCAAAAACGGGCAAAGAAAATATAGATCACTTACACCTCCTACCAACCCGGGAGTCGCACATCACAGCCTTTCAGCTTTTTAAATTTTTGAAACGTTTTCCCACCAGTTTTCATGTTTCACTCATCCGAGTTTATTTTTCTTCCACTTTTCTTCCGGCTGAATCTGTTATTTTACTCGCAAGTAAAATAAATTTTCATATTTTGCCCGCTATATAAAAAGGTCCTTTTAAAATGCTTGATTAAAGATCTGGTAAAAAATTTTTATAAATCTTTGTCAATTCTAATCCAAGCAATTTCTCGTCCACTGACTGTCGATCTGCTACCGTTGACTAGGCCAAAGACGAATGGACTGTTGGAGCTTGTTTTTATTTCTTGTTTTTCGCTGCGCTGCGTTGTAAAACATACACTGTTTTTTTTTTTTTTTTTTAATGCACTTTTTTTGCAGCAATGCAATGCGAAAAACGCATATTGACGAGAGGTTGTCTGTGTGTGTGTCTGTGTGTGCGCTGCGCGTCTGTACCGATTTTTTTTTGCATGCGTGGCTTTTACTTTATAATCAGTCGCTGATCGAAGGTTCACATGTATTTAAGCTGAAGAGGACTGAATCGATTTTTTCTACACATTTTTGGGGCTCCCATGCACCCCACCATATCACTACACTATTTAGTGCAGAAACACGGTGGGCTGCTTGATAGCTCCAAACATTCGAGAAGAAACTGTGTCTTGTTTTCACATTGCCACATAACAGTGATATGCTAGAGTTCCGGTTTTTTTGAATGATAATGCTATTGGTATGTACTTTGCAGTCGTTGCTGTTGTGCACTATGATTTATTTTTTTTGTAATTTTTGAAATAAAATTTTCTCCTAATTGGATTAACTTTTAGGAATATTACGCACAGCTATATCCGGTGGACTTGGCGGTGTAGCATTATGGACTGCTATATATCCATTTGACGTAGTAAAATCGCGAATGCAAATTGCTGGCTCAGGAAGTTTCACTCACATGTTAGCGAGTATTGCCAAAAATGAAGGTTTTTTTTTTTTATTTTTGTTCAAATTTTACATATGGATGTTCGCATATTTATTGCAACTTACGATCAATATGTCCCTGTCAGTAGCGTTTTCCTGAAAGTAGGTCCTGCCTGGCTTAGCCAGAAAGAAAATCTTACGAGTGGTAGCGGGAAAGGCAGGAAATTTCGCTGTAATTTCAGTTCCAGCAGGTCCTTCTCGATGCACGTCTAAGAATAAATTTTGTGCCTTTTCTTTGTTCTGAAAGTTCGTACATGTACCCTTAATTCCTGCAGGTTCTCTCTTACTACAGGAGCTTGGTTTATGGTAGTAGTTCGTGTATTTTACACCGTATATCGCACCCACTTTGTTATAGCGAATTAATCGAGGGATGAATTTGTTGCCCTATGCAGCACTCAGCATTTACAGGTATCCGTACCTTGTATAAAGGATTAACGTTTTCGCTGGTTCGGGCATTCTGGGCGACTG